TAATCTTGTGACACCCTCTATAATTTATTTAAAAAAAAATATATTATATTTTGAAAATAATAAATAAGATAGATATTTTAATTTTAATTTTAACACTCGGTAATTTTAAATTCATATATAGTAAGTATCTAAGACAATTTTTTAAACTCAGTGCCTTTTGATGGAGTTGTTTTGTTTTTATACTATCCGATTGAAATGAATCTTTTTGGGCATTCACCTGTTAAGCTTGAACTCCCTGTGACTGTGACTACCTGTGTTGGTAACTATTGGTAACTCAAAAGATCTACATCATCGATATTTGAAAAAAAAGTGAAAGTTTGATATCTGCAGAACAAAGGCACGAAGGATTTTAACAAATAATATACGTACAGTAGAAAAGTACATACCTTTGGCAATCTTCAACATTATCTGGCTTCCTAATAAAATATATAAGCACTTGTAAATATTTTGTTTTCGTATGATCTCTGCCTTGCTGAGCAGAAAACGACCAAATTTGGTTGATACAAATGTATCGAAATACAAAGAATATTCATGCATTTTTGTATCAATTGGAATGTCTACTATTTATTCTTATCAGTACACATTTTTTAGCTTATTTCTAACCAAACGCTTTTGTCCCGCTAAATTTATCTTCCAACGCACTGTGTGCTCGTCCGTCAAATGCAAAAATAACTGTCACTGTCTAAAATCTTTAGCGCCAACTTCAACTCGGTCAGTAGATGACGAGAAGACGTAAAAAAACTGACAGTGCAAGAAGATAGCAATCGAACTATCCTTCTCTATAGTATCCTTGGGCAGCTGCTACTAACCCCTAATATCTTAAAATTGTATCTTCTACTCCTATCCATGCCCATATATTTATTTTTTCAATTTCCAAGATTTTCTTGACTTTATGGTGAAGGAAGATATAATTGGATTGAGATTTCCGGCCAAAGCCATCTCGTCATATTAAAAAATTACTTCAGAATGTAATGATAATTTAAAAAAATTGTAAATTGATTGTTATCAATTCATTTCACTCTTAAAAATTAACCAAAGCATGTATTGACATGAATCAAAAAACAAAATGCTCAGGAATCATGGTTCTGACCGTACAATTATAATTTAGGGAAATATTGCAATAAACACACGAAATTACTGCACAGGATGTTTTAAAGTTAAGGTAAAAAAAAACAACCACTCGATTAACCCTGTATAATATGCCAAATACTAAAGTTTATAAAAAGTATGGAGTGTAGAGGTTGCGACCTCTACACTCCATAATAAAAAGCTAGGTTTACAAATTAAAGTTGATATAATTATATTATGCAGCTTGATAAAAAATTCATGAAAATAGGGCTAAAAATAACAAAAATAAACACTTTAAATTTGACCAAAAATTTCTCTGTTGCGTTTTTATTTGCATCTGAGTGTACATTTAAAAAACATTCTTAGATCGGAGAAATAAACATCGGAGCGACATCTTCATGTTCTGTTTTTATAAAATCTTCTGTTTGGTTGTAATGTGTTACGAATATTTTCTTCGTCCACAAATGCGTATCTTTATCCACAAACGTCAGACGTTATCGTCGGGTTCCATTTTCATAAAATCTTCTAGCTTCACATTTCGAGTGGCAGATTCATTTTCGCTACTTCTGGAAATACAAGAAAATATTTAAAACACAATGGCCGTATCCATTAATAAAAAATACTTTTAAAAACATACTTAAAGTCATCGTGCACTCTGTCTTCATAATCGGAGCGACATCTTCAGGTTCTGTTTTTATAAAATCTTCTGATTTTATTTCATTAGTCACAGATAAACATTCAGAATTTCTGCAATTAATGAGTTACATTATTATCACTAAATTAGTAAAAATACACTTAAAAAACATACTTAGAGTCATCCAAAGGCGAAGCGAGATCATCAATTTCGATTTTTAAAGCATCTAATATCACTTCTTCATCAGTTGAAGATGTACAATCGGCATTTCTGGAAACAATAAACAATTAAAATGACAAAATCTGTGCCTGGACATTTTTGTTCCAATAGCAATATTTCAACAAGTTTTTTTGATAAGTGCCATTATTTTGAATACTTTGAAGTTTTAAAACAGCGACCTCAAATTTAGGGTATTAGAAAAATAATACTCATATTTAAAACTGAGTAAGATCACGTCAAGTGGACCCCCTTTTCCCACTTAGTCATGGAATTCTATTTAATATATACAGGGTGAGTCTTAAATAATGTGAATTGTGAATGAGAAAATGAATAATGAATTCAGACTTTATCTCTGACACTGTATATGATCCATGTATTACACAAAATAAGTTTACCTGGCATCAATATGTTTCTTCTCAAGGTGACGTCGTAAGGTTTGTTTTGTTGTATATTTCTTATCACACTGTGTACATGCAAACAACTGTCGGTCTTTCAGTGGAAAATGAATTTTCTTGTGTCTGCAAAAATTTGATTTATATGGCGTATGAAAGCCACATGTGGTACCGTAAAATGGGGTTACTTGGGACGTCGGGGTTACTTAGGACTAGCGATGGGAACTATCGAATGAATTAGACTATCGAATGGTTACTGAATGAATGATTTCAACTATCGAATGGTTTTATTCGAATAAAATCATTCATTCATTTGTATACTAAAGCATATGTGACAGCCTCGCCGTGCGACTAAATGGTTATCGTTGAGCCACGACTATCGAATGCTTTTGATAAATGAAATTTAGTATTCGTTTGATTTTTGTGTACGTCAGTGCATTATTAGTTCTTCCAAATTTTTATAACTTCACCTTATAAATACTGTGCTATTTTTGCGTTTATTAAAATATTTAAAATACTAAAATAGTAGGTTTTTTAATTGACGATTGTGTGCGTGTGCAGGTGTCAAAATTTTTCCCAAAATTTGTGTGATTTTCCGTAGCCCGATCTTTCAATTATTTAATTTTATATGGTATATATGGTCTATTTTTTAATGGGAAATTTTGAGAAGAAGCAATTTTTAAGAGAGATGAGATGAACTTAGAATTAATTTTAAAAATAGATACATATTTGTATTTTAGATGTTTTAATAATATGAATTAGTTGAACTTAATAATCATATTTAAGTAATGTGGTTAAGTAAATGTGTGGTTATCGAACTCAAACTATGGGGTGTGAAAATTAAATTGAAAGTTTTACACGTGCCAATTTAAAAAAAAGTTAACGATGTTTGTATTTTGTTTATGCTAATTCTCTTACATGTAGTTTTTTGCGAAGAAATATTTCATTTATTTTTTAAAGTAAATGCCAGTAAAGGTAAATATTATTTTAAATAGTAATATAAAGTATCTAATATAAATAATTTTGATTTCTAATTTTTTATTTATATTTTCCTTCCATTACACTGCATGCTTAGAAAATTAATAAATGTTTATATTTCATGATTTTAAAGTTTGTTGTTAATATAACAAATTAGTTCTGTAATTATTATTATTTAATAAACCACCGTTGCCACACACAACAAATTTAAAGACTATATTATTTTTAAATAGGATCTAATATAAATAATTTTGACATCTAATTTGTTGTTTATATTTTGCTACTACGTAAAAAAAATGTTTGTATTTAATTATTTTAAATTTTGTTGTTAATAGGTATAACAAATTATTACAGTTATTATTATTTTTATTTAACCAGTCTTTGCTTAAAAACATTAAAAATAATTTTCCTACATCCAAAATATCAAGTATTATTGCAGTGTAACAACAGAATATTAATAAAAAAAATGCAAAATATATAGACATACTATCCCTAACTAACTAAAGCCAAACAATAATATTCTTTGCTAATATCAACTAATACCAATATATGGCAACAGCGCCCTTCATAATGTATTTTCTGTGTAAATACTAGCACCTCAATAAAAAAAATGTGTCCTTATCTTTATATGACTCGTTCTGTTCTCGTTAATATTATTTAGAACTACTCGAAAATCATATTTTACCTGCTTTACATGATGCCGCTAGAGAAAATCAGGAAGTTTGGTACCAAATGGATGGCTGCCCGGCACATAGTACCCTGGCTGTTCGGGAATATTTAGATAATAGTTTTAACGGAAACGTTATTGGCCTAAATCATACAGTAAATTGGCCAGCAAGGTCTCCTGATATTTCTCCAAATGATTTCTTTCTCTGGGGCCATTTAAAAAACAGGATATACAAGGATAAAAAATACCCAAATCTAGACGAGTTAAAAAATGCTATTTCTGCCGAATGCAATAGAAATTCAGTTTACCAACTAGCGAATGTAAACAGAGAATTTTATGATCGCCTGGGTTATTGTCTAGCAGTCGATCGAGGAATATTTGAACATCTTCTTAAATCCTAAGGTTCCAACAATTTAATAGTACCTAAATTAATAAGTTATTGAATATTGTAATAATACTATAATTAACCTTGTAATTGATTAATTTAATTCATATTAATTTGTATTTATAAATACGTCTTTAAAATTTTCATTAATTATTCACTTAAAAAAAAAACGAAATACGAAAGTAAAATTATTAGAGATATTGCGAAGTTCAAAAAAAAAATATATATATCTATTTAATTTTTTGATTATGTAACGAGCCCTTTGTTTACTCACTGGTTTCGTCGAACTGCTTGAATCTCTGTTTCGTTGAACTGCTCTATCCATAAAGAGGTAAACAATCATTTAAATCAATGCATGAACGATTCGAGGTGTAACGCGAACGAAGTCGCGGGAAAAAGCTAGTTGGTATCATGCACCTACATAGATCATAATATATAAACTTACGTGGATAAATCAACGCCATAAGTTTAGCATTAAAAAATACGTCTCCAACATCACGACATGCCATTTTCAAACCTTCTTTATTGCACTTATCAAACTTTCAATAGGTTTGTCTTTCTCGAGGACCTTACTTTGTGCCCATGCGCATTAACAGTTGTACCCGAAAATTCGCTATTTGTACCCGAAAATACCGGGGGTAACAATAATACATTTACCTCGAATCAATATGCTTAGCGTCAAGGTGGAATTTTAATTTTCGTTTTTCTGTATATTTCTTATCACAGTGTGCACAAGCAAACAACTGTCGTTCATCTGGGGCCAAGTGAATTTCCTGGTGTCGTTGCAAGCATGATATAAAGGGTGTTTGGTAGCCACAAATGGAACATTTATGGAGATTTGTCTGCGCATCCTTGGACCTAAAATCATTTTTAAATATTTGTCTTGTAATTGCGTAAAACAATTCTAAAATGGTAGTGGTAGTTTAACCACTAAGACAAAGATAAAATAGTACCCGAATATACCGGGGGCAACAATAATAAATTTACCTGGAATCAATATGCTTAGCGTCAAGGTGGTATTTTAATTTTCGTTTTTCTGTATATTTCTTATCACAGTATGCACAAGCAAACAACTGTCGTTCATCTGGGGCCAAGTGAATTTCCTGGTGTCGTCGCAAGTGTGACATATAGGGTGTTTGGTAGCCACAAATGGAACATTTCTGGAGATTTTTCTGCGCATCCTTGGACCTAAAGTCATTTTTAAATATTTGTCTTGTAATTGCGTAAAACAATTCTAAAATGGTAGTGGTAGTTTAACCACTAAGACAAAGATAAAATAGTACCCGAATATACCGGGGGTAACAATAATAAATTTACCTGGAATCAATATGCTTAGCGTCAAGGTGGTATTTTAATTTTCGTTTTTCTGTATATTTCTTATCACAGTATGCACAAGCAAACATCTGTCGTTCATCTGGGGCCAAGTGAATTTTCTGGTGTCGTTGAAAGTTTGCTATATCGTGTGTTTGGTAGCCACAAATGGAACATTTATGGATATTTTTCCGCGCAGTCTTGGACCTAAAATAATTTTTAAATATTTGTCTTGTAATTGCGTAAAACAATTCTAAAATGGTAGTGGTAGCTTAACCACTAAGAAAAAGATAAATATAGTTGACTTGCATTGTAGGTAGGCGATAGAGATGGTTTAGAAATGACAATCACTTATTTTATCTGTAAAACTATATAAAAAATGTCGTCGATCGTCATCTCTAACTCTACTGTAAGCCGTTTTTTCGATTATGCGGTATAGACTTGGTGCATTCTTCGCCGGTGTTGCCACCATCGGAGAATATCGTAAAAACTAGCACATACAAATACACGGGTTTAAATAGCGGGTATACGAAAAAATTATTATTTAATCTAAAAGCGTTAGGAAGTATAATTTGTGAAAATTCTAAAAATAAAAAAGTAAATACTTTGATACCTTCAGAAGGTCTAACTTGTATATTATAATTTATTATTCCAGTTAAAAAAAAAACTTTTTAGATGGGTTAGCTACGGTAGCGAGCATAGTTTTAATAACCAGTTTTGCTGGTGGGGCATAATTAGGGTTTATTCGGCTATAACGAAATTTTTTAAAGGTATATAACTATAATTTTAGAAGATATTCATAAAACATTTAATCACAAGTTGATTAAAAAAAGTATACCATTAATATTGCAAAATATATTTTAACCTCTCACAGTATATGTCTATTTAATTTTTTGATTATGTAACGAGCACTTTGTTTACTCATTGGTTTCGTCGAACTGCTTGAATCTCTGTTTCGTTGAACTGCTCTATCCATAAAGAGGTAAACAATCATTTAAATCAATGCATGAACGATTCGAGGTGTAACGCGAACGAAGCCGAGGGAAAAAGTTAGTTGGTATCATGCACATACATACATCATAATATATATAGTTACGTGGATAAATCAACGCCATAAGTTTAGCATTAAAAAATACGTCTCCAACATCACGACATGCCATTTTCAAACCTTCTTTATTGCACTTCCCAGACGTTCAATAGGTTTGTCTTTCTCGAGGACCTTACTTTAGGCCCCCCAAGGTGCATTAAAAGTTGCACATATTTCCAAAATAATCACAATTTTATACGGTTTAGAACTTGTTTAGAAAGTACAAATTATACATTGTTATGGAAACCAACTCCTCATTATCATCACATTGTCATAATCTTATGTCATAATCTTTTATCACAAAAATCCCCCTTTAGAACTTCGTCTGTCATGTTAAGAAATGAATGTAAATAATAAGCGCCTCTCGTGTTTGTTCGCACTCAAAAAATTTAAATTAATGCCTGTATATATTTTTAATATATTTTTTAAATTTACATTTTTTAAATTGTAAAGTAATATATTACATAACAATTATGTCAATTACAGGATTACAAGCTTGTTTTCTAACATTTTTTAAATAAAACGAATTATAAAATTCCAATATTATGTATATTTGTCGTAGGTATGAAAAAAGTAAAATATAAAATGGACAAACGCTTACTTACATTGCAATAAAACTTCCATTTTTAGTTTTGCAATCCAAACGCAATATTTCTATTTCACAAATAAAATTATCCGACAACACTAAAATCACTGAAACTCCGCGGCTGACAACGAAAACTGAAAAATATAACGGCACTTTTTGTTTTGGACCTGCATATCAACATTACGCTGTACTATTATGTGTTTGTTGTTGAAATAATATAAAATATCTAATTATAACTTGTAAATTTTAATATTTTAACATGATTTTAACTACTTTTGACAATAACTAACTTTTTGTTATCAAGATGACATTTTAGACGGCAACTGACATATATGTCATAATATTTGAATCTTAAATATGTATGTAATATAATTTAAATTACTATAATGCAACTTTATACTAAGAAAACATTTATACATTCACAAAATACAACAAAGTCTAATAATATAGTTTGAAAACAATGAATATTGAATTAAAATTAAAAAAGTTAAGCGCGACCCCTTGTGTCAAAATTAGATGATTAAACTTTCGCAATTTTTACACCATTTGATGACCGGTGGCGCCTCTAGTGTTTGTTCGGGCGGTTGGTCTTTTACTCCCGCTTATGGCCATTAAGGAAAAAGTTCTAAAGGGGGATGTTTTGTGTCTTTTATTTCCATTGTGTAACGTGTATAACGCCGCTTGTTTTATGCGTTTCCATTGTGTAACGACGCTTGTTTTATTACTCTTTTATCGACCGCTTTTATATAGCCAACGGTGCAAGTGTGTTCAGTGAGAAGTTCATTTTAAATATGTGCAATTACATTTCTATTTTTTTTTCGTTGGACTTTCTAAATACTCGTAAAAATGACTAGAAAGTTTTTAGTGTGTGAAAGTTCTAATATAAAGGTTCCCGAATTATCTTTTCATAGGCAAGTAAAGTATTCAGTTGTTCTTTTATTTATATTAAGCCACACGCATACTTTCTGGTTAGATTTCCTAAGAATATTGATATTCGTACGGAGTGGCTAAATGTATTTTTTAATAATTTAATTTTTGTGACAGTAAACATTCAATTTATTGTTCAAATATAAGCATTTTACAAATTTAATTTTTTAAATTAATGTTCAAATTTGGCGCGCGGACGATAGGTCCCCGACAAGGATAGATAGAGTAGAAGCACGGCGTGTGCAACAAAAAAAGAAGATAAATGGAAGTCGTTGATATGTTTGCGACAGTTTCCATAGTAATTTACTTATCTACGTAAGTATATATGATCTAGGGTATAACAATAGACATAACAAAGAGCCCTATCTCAACTTACGTCTCTTCGTCATAACTAGTCATAACCTCATAACTTCGTCGAATTCTAGTATTTGAGGTGGGGCAAATTTTTAAATGAATATAAAATAAAAAAGATATAATATTGAGATGCACAAATTCGCTATGTAAAAAAATTACCCAATGGACATGTCATGACGTTGACATCTCAAAATCGCCAAAAATCGAGATACGCCTATAGCTTGTTTCATATAGACGCGAATCGCGAATTGCGATTTTGCGAAACTGTTCTCATTGGTCCAATTTTTATGATCATGCAGCGCTGTCAGAAATTTTAAGATTTTGGCGATTCGCAAGATTTAAAATTTGGGGGGGCGGGAAAGTTAAAATGTTTTCAACTTTTTGCGAATATTCGCGCGATTTTAAGGTTCGCGTTTGCGCAGAATGGTGTTGTGATCCGGTTATCGATTATTTTGACGACGCTGCCACAAAGCAGAGACCAAAGTACAAAGTAACTGAAAGCATCTCTCCAGATGAAATGGGTTCTCGTGTATATGTTTTTGATATAATATGGTGACAATTTTTCAACCAAGTTATCAAACTCCTGTACAGACAATCTGTGAAAATTCCTAAATTTTTCCTCATCTTTTGTCCTCATTTCTTGAATTAAATTGCGATAAGCACCTTGTTGCTTACGAAATTTAAATATTTCACATGTCCCAAATGACCTATAAACCCGTTCTATTCTACGTTTTAACAATAAGTAAATGGCAATTTTGCATCTTCTGTTCCAATCCCACAATCATAATCAATATTCATAATCATTAAACAAATTTAAACTCATATTGTATGCTATAAAATAAAGATCGTAAACACGAATAAAAACAAATTAGTTATCTCAGGTTATGATTTTTTTTTAGTAACTTTCAGTGGAGCAAAAATGAAATGTCCCTAAAAATTCGCGACTGTATGAAATAGGTCCAAATTTTGCGAATATTTTTTGGCGAATCGCTTTTCGCAATTCGCGATTCGCGTCTATATGAAACAAGCTTATGATTTGGAAGTAATTCTTATCCTAAAAATAAATTTACCTGGAATCAATATGATTATCCTCAATGTGACGACGTACGCCTTGTTTCGATGTATATTTCTTGTCACAGTGTATACAAGCAAATAACTCTCGTTCTTCCGGTGCCAAATGAGTTTTCTTGTGACAGTCAAGATTTCTCTTAAGTAGTGTTTGATAGCCACATATGGCACATTTATAGACTTTCTTATCAGTTTCTTTCAATCTAATAAAAGAAAATTTAAATATTACAGTATTGTATCCCTATAAAATATTTTTCATATAAAGTGTTTCATAATAAGCACAGAATATCTATATTCTGTGATAATAGCCTATAAAAAAGTCAAAGTAAAAAAAGTAGCAGTGGCAACATAGTGACGTGCATTCGTCAAATATTTAGATGGCGTGCACGCCAACTTTCATTGATTTTCCTATATATAGGATGGTGCATTCTCCCCCGGTGCCTGCCACCATCGGAGAATATCGTAAAAAACTAGCATATACAATTATACGGGTTTAAATAGCGAGTATACGGAAAATTTATTATTTAATTCTTCTAAGTGTTAGGAAGTATAATTTGTGAAAATTCTAAAAATAAAAATAAAAAAGTAAATATTTTGACATCTTCAGAAGGTCTAACTTGTATTATAATTTAATCAGTGGCGTAGCTACCTAGGGGCTAGGCGGGGCAGTGCCCCGGGGCCGTCGAGCTCAGGGGGCCCTCGAATCTTTACCAGAAATCTCGATCGAACAGAACTTTTGGAAATTTCTCCCATTTTCAAAATAAATATGACAAGTTGCAACCCCAATTTAATCATGACAACTCATGCAGTTGAGAGAAATTCAAAAGTTATGCCTAGGGAATTCCCCTAAATTCTTTCTGTAGGTTGGCAGTGTTGTCAATTTGACGGATAGTGATATGAGCGAATACATGCACAGTGTGTTGAACGAGATCAATTATGCATCCAAAACTTTACAAAAATGCGGCATCAATTTGGCCGAGGCGAGTAAAGTTTTAGCAGAGACCAAAGCAAAGTTGCAAATTTATAGAAATGATTTCGAATTATTCAAGTGCAAAGCCAGTGAAACTGCGAGAAAATATGGTATTGTGATACCCATTGTCAAGAAAAAAGGCAAAGA